GGCCTGAATTCGATCCCCTGAGGGGAGCTACGCACATAAGGTGCAGCAGACATCGCCTGTCTCGACAGATGCTCCCTTTAGCAGTGTATTTCAGTAAATCCACGTGTTCTGCTCTCCACAGTCTCTGGTGAATCCTTTCATCCCTGCACCCCAGAACTGGCCTGTACCCCAGTTCTTCTATGCAAAAATTTGAAGTAAACACAGCTTTTAACAATTTAAATAAAAGTATCTAGTGTACCACATGTACATTCATGAAATGTGTACTTAGTATGTATACTTGTATTTTAAGTATAAGGCCATCTTTAAATACAAAAATTTAAATATACAGATGGCTATCTGAATTATAAACCCCTCAATACCATAAGATCTTTGTTGTTTAAGTGTAATGTGATAGCCTAAACCTAAAGCTGGATGAGGCACCTTCTTCCAAGTTACCTTTAGCTTGATGAAAAATGTCCTAAATAATGTTATAATAAATATTTAACACTAGTACTCATGGTATACTTTCAGGTTTATGCACATCAAGTCTTTGTAGTATTTTTAATCTCTACTAAAAAGGAAAATAAGGAAGTAGGCAAAACAATCATCTAATGAAGTGCAGCCCATCAATTTGCATTATGACAAGAGAAATACTTTACCCTGACAGCACCCAGATAGCCAACTGGTTTGGAATGCTCTAACACACCACCCAACTTCTTCAGAACATTGGCTTTCCTATGCCAAGTACTACCCGAGGGCTTGCCGGTAAGATTTAATGCTGACTCTGTAGTGCATCATGTACTGAGTCACATCACTTTTGGGTTGCCAGGAACTTTGCCACTATGAAAGGCAATTCTAATCTTGGGTTTTGTGACCTATGGAAAAATAGGCACTCCAACACAGTGCTGGAGGGAGTGGAAACTGGTCTTTTGGTAACATATACAAAAGCTATAAATGCACAGATGTTTTGATCTAAAAATTCAACTTCCAGCTTCCACCTACAGATACACTTAGGAACCTAAGAATGAGCAACTTCCGCCTACAGATACACTCAGGAATCTAAGAATGAGCAAAGCACCTAGATGCTACTAAGTAACTTACTGCTCTACCATTTACAAGAGCAAACTCTTTGGAAATAACTGAAATCATCTGGGACTAGTTCAATTAATTGTGGTATTCCCATACAATAGAGTATCATGTAGCCTTTTAAAAAGCAACAGTGTAGTAAGACTGTTCTTTTTGTCCTTTCACCGTATATTTAAAAATGGGATATAGGGTAGGGAAAGGAATACATGTATGTCCAGAGATATATCAAAAATACCTCCAGAAAAACCAAGAATGTTACTTGTGTCTTAAGTTGTAAAACTAGATTTATGGACAACAGAACGAGAAGAAGAATTTTCTTTCTATATATATATATATTTTTTTTTAGCTTAATTTGGAACCATATAAAGTTATTGTTTGCTTAAAACACTGAACAGGTCCCTCCCTGGTGGTGCAATGGGTTAAAGCCCAGCATTGTGAATGAAGCTGGCTGTAGTTGCTTCAGAGTTCCATCCCAGCCAGGAGGGTGGCCAACATGGCGCAGCAGACCTTGAACCTCTCCTGTCTCACCTGCTGCTCCCCTCAGCAGTGTATTTCTGTAAATCAGCCTGTTCTGCTCCCCACTCTGTCTCCAGTGAATCCTCTCACTGCCCCTGCCACCTCTGGCCTGTACCCCAGTTCTGTGTGCACAAATAAATTAATCTTAAAACAAAAAAACACTGAACACAAGTTAACAACGTGTTACCTTATATAAAAATATAGCAATATTTTTCAGTATTTACTATCTTAGAACATTGTAACATAATTAAGTCACAGAATACCGAGCCATAAGGAACTACCAAAAAAGGTATGGCCTGAAGAGGCTAAGGTGACCTTAACAAAGCACACACTCACTAGGTAGCAAAATATGGCCTAGAAGCCGCCAGAACCCACCTCAAACACATTCTAGTCCATTCTCATTATTTCCCCATCCCTATTTTCTTCATTTCCACAAGCAAGATCCTAGTTGATTTTAAAGATATGTGGTCGACAGGATAAGGTGAGCTGACTCCCATCTCGCTAAGGTCTTGCTCCCCATGAGTTACGTTTTAACAAGAAACCAAGAAGTGTTAGTTAAAACCATAGGATAGACATGGGGTGGGAAGTGGGTCTTTCAACAAAGCCAATTATATTAGAAAATTTGAGGAACATGATAAAGAACATCACCATCAGGTAATTAAAATTTCTGCGAAAATAAACAGATCTACTGTGACACATAATATAAAATGTACATGAAATTTTTTTAATAAATAGTACACTTTAAGAAATTCAGTGCTTCCTCTATTATGATCCCAGTGCCTGGAAACACACACACTCATTCTCAAACTCCTAAGAGGCAGAAAGTTTAAGAAGACTGCAACCAGAGGGCTAGAGCAGCATTCTCGACAGCAGTAGAAAAGGCGAAGAAGGAACCAGTGGGACCCAGGTATGAAGGCTGGTTCTTGCTGCGTTTGACATTAGATCAGTTACTGGACCTTGAACTCAGACCTTCAGCTTCTTCATCTGTAAAACGTGGTCAAAATAACTCACCTTATGGTTTTGCTATAAGGATCAGAGATAACTGCCTGGACTCAGAATACAAACCAGTCACAATCTTTGACTTTCCGACCATCTATTTAGACTCAATTTGTGAGAACACAAGATGGGAAATAATGGCTCTAAGAAGCCCTCAGCCAGTCACAGAATGAAAACAGATCAATATGATAAAAGTACCTAAATAAAGAGCTCATTATACTCACATATTTCATTTCAAACTTCTTAGCCAACATTTCTACTTCTTGCCTCTCCTGATGCTCATCATTAAATGGGTCTTCTGTGTGAATGGGCTTCTTCTGGTTCAAAATAAATGGAAAAGATATAAAAGTGTTAGCATTATTTCAACCAGAGTTACATGTACTCTTAAATTTAATAATTAGGCCCTCCCTGGTAGCGCAGCGGGTTAAAGCACAACACTGAGAATCTAGAGCTGCTTCTGCATGAGTTCGATTCCTGCCTGCCCTGGAGGTGACCACATGGCATGGCAGACCTCTCCTGACCCGCCCGCTGCTCCCCTCAGCAGTGTACTTTGTCGATCTGCCTGTTCTGTTCCCCACTCTGTCTCTGGTGAAGCCTCTCACCGCCCCTGAGCCTCTGGCCTGCACCCCAGTTATGTATGCACAAATAAATAAATCTTTTAAAAAAATTAAAAATAATAATAATAAAAATTAATAATTAGTCAATTTTTCCAAATATTAACACATGAAAGCCTTAAAAGTAAGGCTCGTTGTAGTAAGAAAAATTTGCAGTTTTAATGGTCTCTCTCATAGCCTACAAATTTTCTGGTGGTTAAGAACTCAACAATCCAAAAAAAAGATCTCCACTTGCAAAATTATCATACCATCACTCCAATCAAAATAACAGTCTAAAAAAAAAGAAAAGAAAGTTAGGTGAAAGTGAAAATCTAGCCGGTAACGCTATTTTGAGGTCTTCCCTAATAAACTGCTTTGGTCAGGGAATGCTTCTAAATGCATCTCATGCTTATTTCCTGGAGTGGCCAATGGAGCAGCCACCTCTGCTGAGGTGGACCATCTAACAACCTCTGTATCACCTATATCTTGGCAATGGAGAGTCATTCAAGGAACACATACTACTTTTAGGAAAGCTAGAAAAGTGCAAATAGGAAAAGCCACAAGTACATGACCCTGGCTACCTTCTCCTAGTAGGGGAGAGTGAATGCTTATAATGTAGGCTTTAAAAATAACATCTAGCGGGGGGAGGGGAAGGGAGGGAAATGCACGGGACTATGGTGGTGGCACAGGGGTGATTTGGTGATGGGAAACCCATGGGGATTACAATTGAGATGAAAAAAAAATGTGAAAAATGATGTAAAAATAAACTTTTTAATAAAAAAAAAAAATAACATCTAGCCCACACCTATTTACCTAAACAAGGAAAAAATCACATCCTTTCCTAAAGTTTGCTATTTTCAAAGGCAAACTTCACATATGTGGATTTTTGTTAAACAAACAAAAAGCCAAAGCAAGGATCTAAATATGGGTAAAAATGCTATTTATATCCAATTATGGATAGCTGATTAGAAAGCCAATTTAAAAAAAAAAGAAGTTTAGATATTTTTAATAGTATATTCAGGTAAAAAATGAAAGTCTATTATAGCTGAAATACTAAATATAGATTTGGTTAATCCTTAAAGGCAAGGGGAAAAAATGCAGAAGGGATAAAGATGTGCACACTTTAGAAGTGAGACATTACATCTTGCATATAAAGGCCAAGATGTGATCAGCATAAAAAATATGACAGAAAAACATGGACAGATTCATCATACTTAGCATATGAAAACTCAGATAATTTATTAATACCATCTTCAATACATCTTTCCTATTTCTCATCCCATGTGTACAATATGACAATATTAATAAAGGAATTACTTTTAGAATCAACTTTAAAATCATCTATTGTAAGGCCCACTCTAGTGGTGCAACAGATTAAAGCACAGCACTATGAAGCTAGCCACAGCATGAGTTCCATCACCCGCCAGGGAGGTGACCCACATGGCGCAGCAGATCTGCCCTGTCTCAACCACTGCTCCCCTCAGCAGTGCACTTTGTCCATCTGCCTGTTCTGCTCCCCACTCTGTCTCTGGTGAATCCTCTCATGGAATGGACTCTGCACCTCTCGCCTGTATCACAGTTGTATACATAAAAAATCTTTTTTAAAAATTATCTAGTGTAATAAGCAAGAAAACTATAGAACCCTTTATACCAACAAGAGTTACCAACTTGAGACTAAAGTAAATGACAGTGATTAACCACCATCCTTACCATTATAAACGGTCATCAGTGTCACTGTGAAGCCCAAATAGTGGGTCTTACTACTGTCCTGGCCCAGTTTATAGGTGCAAATATAAACGCATGGACATTTATCTTTAATAGGAATCACCCTACAAGGCATTATAAAATATTTTATGTAGTCTTTCTATTGGCTTTATCAAAAGTAAATTCGTGAGTCTATAAAAGCAAACTTTTCTTTCAGTCAAGATATAGCCCTGACGCTACTAATCAAGGCTGTAAGCTTTTTTAATGTCTTTTGAGTGAAAAATAGATCCAAAATTAGTAAATATCAACATTACTAACTACCCACATACAATATTGACACATTTATCCTGTGAGGTTAACTCAATTATAGATTTAAGAGATATTGTTTCTGTATCTTATCCAATATAAGCAACTAAATATCACAGGATTCTTTACATTATATGGTAATGTATGTATATATATATGTGTGTATGTGTGTGTGTGTGTGTGTATATATATGTACCATCTGTATATATGGTATCAATTACATTAGCACCGTGAGTTTTCTTTTTATAATAAATGCTCAATTAATGACATTTACAACTGAATTTTCTGGTTTATAAGGAGTTAAAAAAGAATTTTTGTCCATCAACTACTGCCACAACTTATTTCTAAATTTTAGCCAGATATGGTGAACAAATTGCTTTCCAAGATAGAGATAACTGAAGAGCCTCACTCTTGACACTGAATCACCTCAACCCAGGCTCAATATTCAACAGCACTAATAAAGTTTATCCTTCAGATAAACCTAAAAATGTATGAACTGTTATGCTACCAACTTATTGCAGCACTATTCTCAAAAGCAAACCCCTTGGAAATGCTCAGATCTACTACTGGGGACTGGTTAAATAGGCTGTGATATTTCCATAGAAAGGAATATCATGCAGCCTTTAAAAAGGAGGCTGAAGCCTTCCCTAGTGATGCAATGGGTTAAGGGCACAGCAAGGCAAGCTATCAACAGCCACTTTGGTGTGAGTTTGATCCCAGGACCCGGAGGTAATCTGCATAGTACAGCAGACCTCTCCGGACCTGCCAGCTGCTCCCCTCAGTAGTGTACTTTGTCAGTCACTGCTCTGCTCCCCACTCTGTCTCTGGTGAATCCTCTTGCCACCCCTGCACCTCTGGCCTGTACCCCAGTTCTGTATGTACAAATAAACTAATCTTTTAAAAAAAATAAAAGGAGGTAGAGAAAGTTTTCTTGTGTCCTGAGAACCTGATTAAAAAATCTCCAAAATAAAATGAAAAAAAAAAAACAAAAAACAAGAGCAGAAATGTGTATTCTGTAATATGAAGCACTGTGTATCCTGAAAACATAGGAGATTATATTTTTCTTTGCTAACAAACTGTTAGTAATGAGGAAAAGGACAGTTAGGTGAGAGTGTAAACACTGACTGTATTCGGTTAATTGGGGGTTTTACTGTTCACTAAATATTTATGAAGGAGGATAATTTAAATACACCAATAAAGATGGTGTTCAAATGTGACCAATTTTTTTTAACTTCTACAACCATCAACTTGAGGATTTGGAGTTAAAATCTTATTGGTGTAAGTGGCTATTTCAAGATTTTAGAACCTTCTAGTCTTTCAATTTTACAAGACTACTTTTCTCCCCCTTTCTACTCTTACATGCATTAATTCAAAATTAAAACTAAATCTTCAAAATATTACAACATCACTAATAAAGACTGGACTTCCTCTGAGAGGAAAAGAGACCAAATTTCGGGGCTCCACTCTCCAGACCAAACCTAATGGTCACATTTTGCTTTCTGATGGCCTCTTTTCCTAGGATTTCTTCTCATGGAGCTATGCCAAATTTACTTAGAAAGATGTTTTATTCTTTCTTATGTAACAGATGGTGGAAATTTCATTGGGAAAATCTGACACATCTTTGTTACAAATGTGCACTGTATAAAGTTTAATATTTTGTTTAATGAAGTATGATAAGTGATATATACCTGAATCTACAATGAGAAAGCTGAATCAATAAGCCCCTAAGTTGACAGTACAAACAGAAAAACTAAATTCATTTTTTTCTTATTTTAAAAAACCAGTATTTCTAATATTACTAATTTAACAAAATTGGAGGGTCAAAAATAACTTTTTTAATAATTAAAGATATGCTTCTCTGTTATCATGGCATGAATGTTAAAGCATAAAGAGTGTCATAGTAGAGCCCCTGTATTTCCAAGGCTCTAATTATAAGTCATTTGGCAGAATCCTCTTAAACTGTATACCTGGCTTTAAGAAAGTATGTTTTGCTAAGAAATACTAATAAAATTACACATAACCATTCCACATTATTCTCATTTGTAAAATTAGGAGAATAGGTCCTAACTCATAGGAGACTGCCAGACTAAACTCTTTAAGTCACTGCCAGAACTGTTTCCAGTACAAAGTAAGAATTCAGTGAATGCTAGTAAATTACTATGAATTTTTATCCAACTACGGTGCTTTTCACTTGAAATTTATGAAGTTGATTCAAGTAAAATTGCAGACCTCAAATCAGAAGATCAAATACAATTTATTTGAAATTCTTTAATTTCAGTATTTAAAATCCAGTATTTTCAAAATTCTTTGGAGAAAAAAATGGCATCACATTTCTATGTAAAAGGGGCACTAAAATGAGTCTAAAGGGCAAAACGTTACCAGGAAGTGACCAAAATGATCTCTACCCTTAATAGTCCATTTTAGTTGTTGTAAACATTCAGTAATGATTTGACCACCAAACAGTATCTGTAAATAGTGATAAAAAGATAAATAGTGATAAAAAGAAGAGTTGGCCAAAAATATAAATACGATTCCAGGTACAATATTTAATTAAATTTGTAACTGAGTCATTCACTTCACAACTATATTTAGTTGACATACACACAACTGCCTTCTAGAGTCCATTAGCCCTACCCAAATGCAAACAGCATAGACTAAACAGAGGCTGTTCTTTTTTTATGGTCACTCTTATCATTTTCCTTTTTTAATTTTAAAATCACCAATCCACAAAAATTATAAAATGCAATTAACAACAAACCCCTCTCGATGATCAGTTCCACCAGTGGTATACCTATTTATGCTCAATAAAGTTTTTAAAAACCCAAAGCTATTTTCTCCAAAAATTACAATGGCCAAGTGCAACATCCTCAAACTGGGCCCTATACCCTAATGATACACACTCAAATATGAATATGATGGGCGCCAAATAAAACAGGATAGCTAACTTCCCATTCAATTACAAAGAGAACAAACTTCTCAGAAAACAAAGCTATAAAGGCTGACCAATACCAACACGAGTGAGAAAAAAATAAGTAACCAGATAACTAGACAACCCACTTCTCCTTCATTCCTAAAGTGGGAATCCTTACACGGGCGGAGGGGGGGGGGCGGCAATTTAATTACTTTTACAACCCCTTCAATTAAAAAATAAAACACAGCCACCCACCACCCCCGTTCACAAGCACAACTCAGCAGCCACGGCGCCAAGCACAGCAGCGATGAGGATGAAGATGAGACGGGAGGGGGGGTTACACAATCTCTCCGCTTCAGACTGGGGGGCGTGTCCCCCAAGGTTTTCCCTTCCTTTCTTACAGAAAAGGACAGCCAGAGCTCCACAAGGAAAACCCAACCATGCAACTTGCAGTGCCTCAAGACTGGGGGCGGGGAGCCGAAGGGGGGAGGCCAGAAGGTGCAAAAAGAAAAGAGGGAAAATGTGAGGTTGCAAAAGGTGCAAAAGAACCAGCTCGCAGCGGCGGCCGGAGCGGGCGCACGCTGGGGGTCGGTGGAGCCGGGTGGGAGCCTCCGCCAAGCAAAGAAGCAGAGAAAAGCAGCAGGGTCGCCCGTCCACCCGCTTGGCCCCGACCCCTCCAGCCCACCCTCCCCGGGCGCAAGGTGGGCGTCGAAGGTGCCGACCGCCGGGGGAGGCGGCGGGTCCTGAGGCTCCCGGGGTCTGGGGGGTGAGGGTGGAATCTTCTGTACCCGTTGTTCTCCGCACAGCAGCAGCTCCGGGTAACTGAACTCCACGCAGCTCTCGTCGGTGGGATCCTTGAGCACCAGCTCCAGGCGCACCGTCTCCCTCGGCGGCCTCGGCGGCGGCTCGGCCCGAGAAGCCGACTCCCGCGGCGGGGGCGGCTGCAAG